TTGGGGGGGGGGGGGGGCCTGTCTCCCCAGATGCACGGGCTTTGAACCTACCGCCACCGAGTTCTTCATGTCGGCCACGGCCGAGGTGAACTCGCTGAAGTGCAGCTCGGGGCAGTAGACCAGCGGGTGCACCAGGTCCCCACACTTCCGGCCAGCCTTCACGCAGGCGGCCTCCCACTCGGCACTGTTGGTGAGCACCGCAGCGTGGTACTTGCCCGTGGCGATGCCCTGGGCGCGCGGGGGACCGGGACGGTGCATCATGGGAAGGCGGGAGAAATATAACAGGCAGTGAGACAAGTCAGGGAAGCACAGCGCTGGACCTGGGGCGCGCATGGCATCTGGCCGGTCCTGGCTCACGGCCAGGCCGCCCAGGCCCTCCCGGGGCAGAAGCCCCCACGCCTGGCTTCCCCAGGGTCCTGGGCAGGTCGGGCCCCGAACGGCTGGGGCAGAGCACACGGCCCACCTGCGCCCCGGTCAGCGTGGCCATGTCCAGGATGATGTCGGCGGCCAAGTCCTTGCAGGCGTAGGACACGCCATCCGCCAGCACCAGCCTGCCCTCGGCGTCCGTGTTGTTGATCTCCACAGTCCTGGGGTACGGGAGGGACCTCGCTCAGGGACGCCATTCGCACAGGCACTGGGGGCTGGGGAGGCCCTCCCCGAGGGGCAGGGATGCCTGTGCGCCCCTGCAGAAGGCGGTGCCAAGGCAGGGCTAGGGCATCGGGCCGAACGCCTGCCCTGTTGCTCCTGAGCTGCGAGCTGGGGCCAGCTGTTGGCTCCTCTGGGCCTTGGTTTCCTCATCTGTGTGACCGGGCTGGGCCGACCCATGGCACAGAGTCTGGGTAAACGCAGACGTAGGTGATGGGGTGCAGCACCCGCAGACACAGCATGTGGAGGTGGGGAGGAGCCCAGAACGGCAGCATCCACCCCCTGCTCGGACTCTCAAGGGTGTCCTGCAGCTGGGAAGGGGGCTCATGGGTAAGGGTCCCAATAGGGATTCTGACACCTCAAAGCATCAAGTCTAAAGACAGAAAAGGCGTGTCCTGCTAAGACAGGGTACCCTGAGCTCCTGGGCCATGAACCCCAAAGCTGTCCTCCTGAAAGGGCAGCTGAGCACAGTGAGGCAGGGGTCCCAAGGGCTCGAGGGCGTCCCAGCCTTACTTTCCTGAGTATAGCAGATGGATATCGTCAGGCCTCGTGGCATTGGGCCCCACCGCGTTCTCAGCCAAGCAGAACACAGCATGGAGGTTGTCTTTGAAACCCTGGAGGGAGGCACGGCAGAGGTTCCAGTTAGAGGCTGCAGATTTAGGGAAGAGAGGACGAGCTGGGAGCTCCCAGACCCACAGATGGCAGGAGACGGACAGGCAGACAGAGCTCCATGGGCAGAGGGCAGAGCTGGGCCCACATCCTGGGAGCTCCCAGCAGCTCCCAGCTGCCCTGGCCCATGCCATCCGCCACCCACAGGGGAGGAGCCTGGAAACGGGGCTGGGGTTCAAGGCCTAGCTCACAGCTGGCGAGCTGGGGGCAGTCAGCCTCCACTTCCTTGTCCACGGAGCGTGGCCAGCAGTCAGTGTCCCTCAGCACACACCTGGGTACACATGCACACGGGGCCAGGAAGGGCTAGCCTCGTAGACATTTCAACATGAGGCTGGTTTCCTGGTGCCAAAGGAAAGGCCATGTGTGCTGAAGGACATTGGCAGACCGGCCGCGGCGGTTCCCTCCCTGCGCAGGGTCCAACCGTGCCCAGAGGCCCAAGAGGCCAGGCCCGGCAATGGCGTCAGGAGCGGGGCTCCCACACCCCGCCTGCCCTTCTGGTAAGACCAAGGGACTCCAGGCCACGGAGGCCAGAGAGATGAGCCTGCCACCAAAGGAGGGGGCCCCTAAAGAGCCCTCCCAGAAAGGGGGTGCTGGGTGTGGGTTCTGCAGGGAAGAGGCGAGGACGCACCCCCCAGGCAGGAGCTCCAGGTGCATCCCCCCTCCCCCCAAAGGGCCGCCCGTCTCAGGTAGAAGCGAGAACCTGTGTTTCTCTCAAAGCGGGCACCACACCTGAGAACTGTGGGCTCAGAGGATGTGCTACGGGCTCCAGGCCAACGCCCCAGGGCCCAGGGCCAGCAGGAAGACGGCAGCCCTGTACTCGTGGCCACGCAGTCCCCTCGGCCATCACTGAGATGACCAATGAGCTGGAGGCAGGCCGTGTTCATGGCTCCCCAGTGTCTCACACCCTGAGATGCGCTGGTTGGACAGAAGACGGTGACCAGGATGGGGCTGGGCTGGGCATCTGGGACAGCCAGGGAAGGGTTGCCAATGTCTCACTGCTCGGATACGGTCCACAGTCAGGGAGGGTGTTAGGGAAGCGGGTGGGGCACACCTGCTGGGGGCTCCCGATCCCCAGAACCAGTAATCTTCTGTCTTTGAATGGAACACCCCTTTTCAAAAACCTTTTAAATATTTCTTTGTGAAATAATTTCAAATTTAGAAGGAAAATGTACCCAAAGGGCACCAATAACTCCCAGGCATCTTTAGCCCAAATCCCTGACGTTCCCTTCTGAGTCCTGCCGGGGGGCCCCCATGCACATAGGGCAGGGAGTCCCTGCAGACAGGGCGCCTCCCTGCCCCTGGGGCTTCTGCTCTTCTCCCAGGGCAGGGAGCACGGTGGGGACCTGACCAGTCTGAAGTTTACAAGATCTGCCAGGACCGCCTCTTTCAGGCCTTTTGATTTCAAGTTCACCCTGAGGAGCCAGGTGTAAAGGGGGCACCTACCAGCCTTGCTTCCCTCTTCTTTTACTTCTTCTTTTTTTTTTAAAGAGCCCAGCCTCTTAAAAACCTGAAAATGCTACAGTAAGGGGGTGAGACCCCCCAGGATGGTCAGTGCACACCTTCCACTCAACACACTTTCTACAGCCCGAGGACCCTGGGCTCTGGCTCCATGGAGCAGTCATTGCCTCTGGGCAGAACCCAGCTAGAGGCGTCTGTGAAGAAGGGAGAAGGGGGCTCAACATGGCGGGAAGACAGCAGAGTGTGGAACGGGGGCCTCAGTCCCGGCGAGGGGCAGCTGTGAAGGAGGGCGCTAAGAGGGATGCCCAGAGTAAAGCATGCTCTGAACTCAGGCCCCTGCCACATGGTGGGGGCCAGGCTGGGCTTGTCCACTGACAAACGTGGCACCCCCAACCCGCACAAGGCCCTGCTCGCAGGTGGCACCCAGGTGAGATGAGGCCTGTCCAGTGCAGCCCCAAGAAGGTGGGATGCTCTGCTCTGGGGCCCTGGGGGGTCTGGTGCAGAGCAGGGATGGGGTGTGGGGACCCGGGAAGGACAGGTGTGGCCCACAGTGAGGAGGGCGGGGCGGGGCGTGGCCCTGGGGACCCCAGGGTAGCTCGCTGAGGGCAAAGGCAGCCTCACTAACCTGCTTGATGGCGGCTCTGAAGGCCCCCAGGATGGCGGCGGCACCCCCGCAGTCTCGCTTCATGCCCGGCATGGTGGTCTGCAGGCCGACAGGAGACGGGAGAGACGGTGAGCTGCGCACAGCAGTCTAGCCACCAGTATGCCAGGCCCCTGCAGGCCCCAGGCCACCCGACCGTCACTGTCACATCGTCTACCCCACCCCCACTGACAGCAGTGCCACCTCAGAGGATACCCCGTCGCCCCGGGCACCGCCAGTGCTACCACCAGAGGGGCTCCTCTGCTCTCCGCCCTCAGCCCATCTCCGGTCAAGGAGGGTCTCAGGCCATCGGCAAGATGGTCACCTGAGGAGCATGAGGCTGTCTCCTGTAAGCCAGCTGAGAGTGGCCGGCATTTCTACGTCACAGGTTCCAACTCCGACGGGCGAGTTCATTCTCTAATACTTTCATACGAGTCCTGACCCTCGCTGCAGTACACGTGCCCTGAACTGCAGTGGGAAGAACCTTTGGGTAGAAGCTGAGCTGCCTGAGAACTGAGTCGAGTAAAGACGACTGCTCCATCTAGCTCTAGGCAAATGAGCCGTCTCTTCTGACCCAACGAGCGAGAAGCCCAGGACTGTGCAAACGGCAAAGTGGGCTCGTGGCTCTGGATCAAACCATTTGCAAAACGGCTCCACGGAAATGCCCCGGGTGCCTGTTCACGGACACGTGCTGTCCCGTCGGCCGTGCACACACAGTCCCCAACCGTGTGGGGTTTGCCAACCCCCATCCATGGCTTCTATTTTACGAAAGAAACGATTTTATGGCCACACCAGGATGTCACCAGTCCTTTCCACTGGGCTGGCACTTGGCTGATGGCATGGAAGTCGTGGGGGGAGGGGCAGAGGTGCCGGAGCCTTCACCTGCTCAAGGCCGGGACCAAAGGGAAGGGGTTCACATCCGTGCCCCCAGGAAAACACAGCAATGGCAATCTCGCTTCAGAATTCCCTTGCTAAAGCACAAGATTAATTTTTAAGAAATCTCAGCTCTTAAGTTAACACCCTCCCCCGGTCCCCACACAAGGGACGGAAGCCTCCGGAAGTGCTGCTGCTGTCTCCAGGCGCGCTGGAGGAGCAGAGCTCTGGCGGCTGCCCGACTGACACCGCCGCGAGCCACGCTGGCCACGGACACCATTCCTACTTCAAAGAACAACCGACGGTCAAATGATGGTCTTGGAGACCGAGGCTGCTTTTTCTTTTCTTTTTTTTAGAGGTTTTTGCTATTGGGCGCGTGCGCTCGCCAGAGAGAGACAGAGAGACAGAAAGTGAGAAATCACCCCCCAGGGGGGATGGCCATGCCGCAATCCCTTCTCCTCCATTCTCCTCTCGGGATCTTGGGCACGCACACACACTCACCCGGCGTGAGTTTTAAGCCACCGGGCCCGGGACGTGAACTGCGGTCGACTGACTACGTGTGAGTCCAGCGATATAGCCATTACGCTAACTGCTGGTCCCCGTGGGCGACTGAGTTTCTGACAGACCCTTTCTAGAAGCAGACTGGAGCGAGCCTCTTTGAGCTGACATTATTTATGGCCAATGAGAACATTTGAGCGTCAGACAAAACTGAATTCCGAATAACATCTGCTACCAAGCACTCACGCTCAGCCACTTCACTGGTAGACAGGGACGGCATTAACGAATGAGGTTTTTCAGTGTTATGCATGAAATATGAAAAATGTGCAAGTTCTGCATAACCCTGGGAGCCAAAGTTTGCCAAATGGGCCGTGCACATCACAGAATCAGGCCAAGTTCAAGATGGAGCAGTGGATTTGACTGTAAGCGTGAGAGTTGCAGACGCAGCTGCTGAGTCCACATTGTAACCAACCTTTAAGAAACTACTCGCTGGGGCCAGCAGGTGGCGCAGTGGTTAAAGTGCTGGAACCCACACTGCTGCTGACTGTGGTTGGAGTCCCAGACTTGGGATGCGGCAGCTTGAAACTCACACCGGGCACATGTGCGTGCATGCCCAAGCTCCGGAGAGAATAGAGGAGAAGGGGTTATGGCATGGCCATGCCCCCTGGGGGGTTTTAGGAGCCAGCAGTGGTACGTCGGTTAAGGCACTAAACGTCCACATGGCCGACTATGGTTCAAGTCCCAGTCCAGGCAGTTTGAAACTCACGCCAGGCGCATGTGCGTGTGTGCCCAAGATCCCGAGAGGAGAATGGAGGAGAAGGGATTGCAGTGTGGCCATCCCCCTAGGGGAGGGGGTGATTTCTCGCTTTCTGTCTCTCTCTGTCTTTCTGGTGAGCAGACGCACCCTACAGCAAAAACCTCTCCAAAAAAAAAAAAAAAAAGAAAGGAAGGAAGGAAGGAAGGAAGGAAGGGAAAGAAACTACTCCTTGTCAAGTTTTGGCGTAATAGCGAAGAATAGCCACACTCCCCTGAAAACAGGGCTGAACGGTGTCTCCAGCCACAGCTGACCCACTCACCTCCCACCTATAGGGACACATCCCAAGACCCCAATGGGTGCCTGAGGCCGCGGACAGTATTCAATCCACGCGCTATACATGCTGGTCTCTCCTCTACCCACAAACCTACGGTAAGGCCTGCTTATTACCTAGGCACGGGAAGAGATGAGTAACCAAGAACAGAATAGGATAATGACAGCGGTGTGCGTAGTGAAAGGCCTTGAGTGAAGTCGAGCCCTGTCAGAGTACTTTACGGTACTGTGCGCACCTATCTGACACGGGAGGGGAGACGGGCTGAGGGTGGGCTACGAAACAAAATGCAAGAGGCCAGATTTTCTGCTACTGTTCAACTAAAATGCCTTCTCATAACAACTCAATACGGAGGCAGATGTGAGATCCCAGCCGCCTCCTGAACAGGACGCCACGCCACAGCGTTTGCCCGAACACGCAACCAGACTGGTCTTCTTGCTGATTCTTTTGGAACAATAGAGTTATTTTCATAAAACTGTATTATGTACGGTAACAAGCAACAGATTTATATCGCTCCTTTTCAATGAATTATAGCCACCCTTTAAATAGATTAGTGTGGACTTCCAGTCCAGTAAGAGCCAACAGACATCCCCCTTTCTAGCAGAAGCCCTTGGGGTCAGCACTAGCTGGGGGTGAGACGGGGTCCACTCTGACCCCTACTGGCCAGGAACCCTAGGGGAGGGAGCCATGACTCTCTTCGCAGAGCTGGGAGCTCGTTGGTGCCGTGCAGCTTGCTTCCGGGAAGCGGCCCTTCCGTCTCGCTCGCTCTCGTGGCAGCCCCTTGGATGCACACTCCCGTGGGGAAGTTTCTCGTCTGGGCCCTCTAGTGAGACTGAGAGCACCTGCGGCCCAGCCTGGGGCTCTGGCTACCATTGCAGCCATGGGGAAGCCTGCCAGAGTGCCCCAAATCCAGGCAGAACAGTTCTAAGGACAGGACGCAGGGGGATCTGGTTCAAATGGAAAACGATGCCTTGTTTTGCTGGTCCCAAGCTACGGCCGGTCCATCGGGGATCTGCAGGCCAGTCTGACCCCAGAGGATGGCCAGGGTGATGGTCTCGTTTTCAGAAGGTGACCTGGAGCCTGAGAAAGGCGCTGTACACGTGGCTCTTCCAGCTTCTAGACAAGGCCTCTGCCGTCAGGCCTTTCCCTCTTGGGCTGGCGCTTCCAGGCCACAGCTGACCCGCTGCACAGGCGTGCCTGCGGTCAGAAGGTGCAGACAGAAGCCCCGCTGTTTTCCCTAAGCAACCGGCCTCAGTGCCACAAGCAGGAGTGATTCCCAGGGGTCCTGCTCCTCCCCTCTGGCTTTCCACACGCCAATGTCGAAAACTAGCATGGGTCCAAGAGGAGCCCACATCTCTGCCAGCCAGGCTCAGCTGCCCCCAGAGCAGCGGCCACCCGGTGCAGAAAGGTGGGGTGGCCAGGGCTGGGGCCAGGTGCCGCAGCGTGTGGTCCACAGAGAACTTAGGGCAGTAACGAGCTGTCTTGGAGTCACTTTGCTTGCTGTTACCTCCGCGTGCTGGTGTGACCAAACAATGGCGGCGATCAAATATTCCACCCAAAGAAATCCCGAACTGGGTGAAGTTTAAACAACTGCCGTGGCTTCCGTTCAGTTTTCATCATCTAAACATGAGCTTTGAATTCGCCTATCTTTCCTCCTTCTGCTGTAAGTGACACAGTCCTTCGTGGATGTCAACAACTGTCACTTTCTCAGCTGGCCCTGATATGTGCACTTAGCTACCTGCATTTGTCCTGAGACTCATGTGACAGCCTGGGGCATTTGGAGCTGGCAGGGGGCCTAGCAGAGCCTCTGGTGTCTGCGATGTTACCCACGCTGAGGCGGTGGACTCAAAATAGAACGCCAGAGCGCGGTGACAGCAAAAATGAAGACGGGGACGTGGGTCCCGAAGTTCTGCCCTTCCGTCTGAACCCTAGGGGAGCTGTGTTTAAAATGGTTTTATTCTACAGATGTTCGAAGCCCAGTAGAATGGTTCCCAAAAAACTGAACGCCTGGTCAGTATTGGAATTTCTGAAAAACACCGTGTGATGGGGTTTTTCATCTCCGCTCAATGTTTCGTTAGATTGGCTGGAGTGCGTTCCCGTTGCTCCACGTGGAAGAAACTCTTCAGGAATCGACTGTGAATGACAGCAGACCCACAAGCCTGCCCTCTCCGGCTCCAAACACAGACAGGTGCAGGAGATCAACTCGGATGAAGTTTCTGTCAAGCCTGTGACCCCAAAATGGGAGCTTTAATGTCACAATCCATCCTCCGAAGAGCAGACCAATATGGAGGCATAGTTTTTTCTATTAAAAAATACATTAATGTGATTTAAAATATTAATTCATTACTATTTGTGTTGTAATATTTCTTTTTAATTTTTTTAAAATTGAAAATATGTATGAATTCAATAAAATAGAATATTTACAGTTTTTTTCCTCCTGAAGAAAAAATGGTTATTAGTTTTTATGGTTATTGGTTTTATTTCCTGATTAGTCTTAAAAATGATTTTGTCATTTAGGGACCAGCAGTTAGCGTAATGGCTATGTCACTGGACTCCCACGTAGTTGACTGCGGTTCACGTCCCGGACCCGGTGGCTTAAAACTCACACCGGGCACGTGTGCGTGCATGCCCAAGATCCCGAGAGGAGAATGGAGAAGGGATTGCGGCGTGGCCATCCCCCCTGGGGGGTGATTTCTCGCTTTCTGTCTCTCTGTCTCTGTCTGTCTGGCGAGCGCACACGCCCTATAGCGAAATGTAATATTTCTTTTTAATTTTTTTAAAATTGAAAATATGTATGAATTCAATAAAATAGAATATTTACAGTTTTTTTCCTCCTGAAGAAAAAATGGTTATTAGTTTTTATGGTTATTGGTTTTATTTCCTGATTAGTCTTAAAAATGATTTTGTCATTTAGGGACCAGCAGTTAGCGTAATGGCTATGTCACTGGACTCCCACGTAGTTGACTGCGGTTCACGTCCCGGACCCGGTGGCTTAAAACTCACACCGGGCACGTGTGCGTGCATGCCCAAGATCCCGAGAGGAGAATGGAGAAGGGATTGCGGCGTGGCCATCCCCCCTGGGGGGTGATTTCTCGCTTTCTGTCTCTCTGTCTCTGTCTGTCTGGCGAGCGCACACGCCCTATAGCGAAAAAACCTCTCCCAAAATAATAATAATAATAATTTTGTTATTTAGAAGAGGAACGATGTTAAAAAATGGGTCATCCACTCCAGGTATTAACACACTAGGTTTGTGGGAAGTGCAGAAAGCAGCAACACAATCCCCACACTGCACAGCAGCTGACACCAAGGCTCAGTGTCAGGGAGGCGAGAGAGAGCAGTGGGGCCTGCAGTAAATGGAGACTCTCCTGCCCGGACAGACGCTACCTAGCTCGAGTGAGTGCCACCAAGTAAGAACACGTGACCAGCGCTGCCCGATCTTCGACGTTTATGGAAGACCGGAAATGCAGTCTCTTAGGAGAATTCTTCTTGGTTTCAAGCGTTGCAACTACTTTAGGTTTTCAACATTCCTTTTGGGCCAATAAGACACATCTGAGCCCCGCGGGCTGCCAGTTTTCCAGGTCTGCTTGATGAGCTGAGCTTGTCCCCACCCTGTGGCACCTTCACCTCCTCTCCAGTGTCTTTCCCAGAGCCCCTGGGGCACCCACATCATGTGCACCTTCCCAGGCTTGGGGTCTCTGCCCAGGCAGCCCAGTGGCATGGCCACTGGGCCAGCAGGAGGTGGTGATATGCAGGACAGGGCAGATGGCTGGGGGGCTGGTGTTCTCCCAATGGCCCTGGGCTCACTGCAGAACACGTGCAGGGCTCCTGGGATGGCCCCCCAGCAGCATTCTCCGATGACCCGCTTCCGTGCAGACCCGAATCCTCGCTGTCACAGGGCGGTCCACGTCTGGAGGGGTCTTGTGTAGCCCCTGGCCAAGCGTGCTCTTCGTGGAAACCTTGGCAGACTCAGAGCAGGCTTCACCCCTCCTCTTCTTCAGACTAAGACTCCCCAGCTAGCGACCCCTGCCTCCCTGGGCCCTATTCTCTGCCCCTTTAATCAATCTGCAGTTCTTCTCTGGCTCCTGGCTGGACTTTTGTTCTCAGAATCCTGTTTGAAGTGTGGACATGAAATCCAGGCGTCCTGCATGGCACCATCTCCTTCTCAGTGTGGAATCTGGCCCTACTGGCTCTCGTACCCCAACCCAGAGCTCTGAGAAACCGCGCTCCCTCCTGCGAGGCCTCGGGATCTGGACGAGCCCGGCCTGGACCCCTGCCCACCCCAGCACCCAGTGGCTCACCTTCCCTTTGATGCTGAGTCCTCCGGTGTCGTAGACGATGCCTTTGCCCACCCAGGCAATGGTCTGCGTGGCTCCATCGGGGGTGTGGCTGAGGACGGCCAGTGCTGGCGGGTGGATGGCGGCTTTGCCAACCCCATAGATTCCTACAGGAGGCACAGGGGTCGCTGGGTTAGCTAGGCTCGGGTGGGCCTGAGCAGAGGACTTCGGAGGCCCTGGAAGGCCGACGGCCAAAGCCGGGGGCCACCCTCTCTCCCACAAGCCCACTGCTTAAGCTGGGGCTCCCTGCATGGGCCTGGGTGTGCAAGTTGCCTGTATCTGAGCGACGGGCACAGCTGTGCGAGGGTCATGGCGAGGAGGCCCGCTGAGGACAGGCGAGCCACAGGGCCGCCAGAACGGGGCTGCAGAACCAGACGGCTCCCAGGCCACCCAGCCACGCCATGCCCGCCTCGGACCCTGCGAGCTCTCGGGCTGCACACACGCTCCTGCTCTCTTCACCCCGCTCCGCCTCATCAGGTCTACACCCCGCATCTTCTCACAAAACTAGACCTGCTCGTAGGCAGAGGCCAGGTCCCGAGGCCCCTGACCTGAGCTGGATAGTCACAGCAGCCATGACAGAGCTAACAGCAGCTGCCTGGTGAACTGACACATCCTGCAAAGCCCCTGCGAATGTCGCCACCTCTGCGGGGACTCCCTGACACACGTGGCCTCTTGCTCCAGTTCCGGCGGCTTTAGGTGTCTCGTGGGCACTGCTAAGATGGCCCGAGTACTCTACATCTCATCGTGTCTGATCCCAGTCCTGTGGCAGCCCTTCCCCTCAGTCCTCATGCCTCACCTCTGACCAAAGGAGACAGCCAAGTGCTGACATGGCACCTCCAGATTCCGCCTGGCCTCCCCCCCCCCCCCCGTGTCCAACTCTCTCTGCCGCCGCGCCGCACCCGCGC